GGAGCTTTGTCTACTGGGACGACGGAGATGTAACTTATATAGAAAGTATGCCGACCTACACTCGTTATTTGCGCGTGTTCCCTATACTACACTTTATACGTCGATATTTATAAAAATGCCAATCTGACTGAAATTAAGACGTCACTGACTTATTAGTCGAAGTTATAAGCATAGTGAAATCGGTCGATACAATTAACCACTGGCTTAAAGACCAAACAGCCTATTCAGTTCTACCAGTGATTTTTCCATAAAATTTTGTGTGAAGGTATTTCAGGATTTGAGGAACAAAATATGATGAAAAAAATTGGGGGTCACCGACTTAGTTTTTTGTCACTATAGCAACCTTAGTTTAGTGTTTTCCCGAATATTACCATGATATTTGGTTGTTATTTAAACTCTCAAAAAATCCCATTATATCAAACCTACAAGCATAATTCTTGTTTCACGTTAAACAGTAGATTTGTGTCTATCAAATACAGGTTCAAGAGTATAAGACTCTTATTGTTTTGATCTTAAAAAATATGATTTATTTCATTCCCGCCAAAAAATAAAACGTAAGAATGAAAAACGTTTTCAGTATTAAAAAATATCTACTAGTGATTTCTTCATTAAAATTTCTAGAAGGAAAGTGCCATCTGTACTCTTCAAAATAAAGCCAAAAAAAAGTATATGTCACCGACCTTTCAAAAAAGTTATGAGTAATTTTCATGTTTTTTTTCTCGTTCGTTTTGAAGAAAAGAGTTGTCTTTCTTCAGAACACCGAATCTGACGTCATAGTAAAAGTTTTCCTTGCTGGCGCACTTCTTAAAATAAATCGCAAATTGGACGTTTGAAACCCACATTTAAATTTTCAAGACTCAAGAATAACAACTATATTCACCTACTTTATTTTCCGGTAATACAAGAGATCACATGTATGTATCAGTATCAGATCTCATGATGTTGTTGCCGCACAAAATTAACTTTCAGAAACCATCCGCCAAAATAACCTTTTATGCCGCTTTAGAAAGGAAAGTCTATTTTTGTCCTCTCCCTCTCATTAGCAAAATAATTGAAAATAAAAAGAGAAATAAAAGATGACACTGGCTATCTTACAGACTATTTGACTATATTAGACAATGAACCTTTATCAATTATTTAACTTCATTGCAAGATCAGACATTATTTTACGAAAATCATCCAGAAATAAGTTAATCTCAACATGCATTCGTTGCCAGTATATCGAAACTTCTAGAAAGTATTGTTTATCGGCCTAACCTTCTGAAATCTCAATTTTGAAAATCACATAAGTTCAAATTCTAAGCGTAAGTCATTAAAATATACAAGTGTAAAGTTACACGGGCGTACGAGATTTGCGCCAATTTAAAAAAAAATCGATCTTTAATTTGAGCCGATTTGATTCTTTCATTAGCGCCTTTTTTATTCTTTTTATCACATGCTATATGCTATATTTGCTATACGAGTAAATACATGTACATGTAGTAAACCTAGAATGTATATTGGTAATATATGGATATAAACAGTGTTCCCTTATGTTTAAGATATATTGTTCGAGAATTTCGTTTTTACACGAGAAAGAAAAGATGGACTTCGTTGTTGACAAGTACAAGTATAGAAAAGATGAAATGACAAGAAAGAAATATATCAGATGTGGAGCATATAAATACTCGGCAGGGGACAGCATTTATATACATGTTATAATTGACAATTCATAACATATGTACAACTGACTAACGAAATAGGTTTATATGATAAAAAAAATCACCTATAATTAACCTGTTCACAATCGGCGCAAATGAAAGACATTATCGGCGCAAGTGAAAGAATAAAAAGTGAAATGCAGATCGGCGCAAATGCAAAAAGCCAAGTTCACAATTTGTATTTTGTTATTTTTATTAGAACGGAGGTTGCATACAGTGCAGTATCTTTTGTGTCCATTTGTGTTTAATTTTAACTAGATATCAACGCGACGTTCAATTCCACTTTTCTTGGAAGACGTATTTTAAAGCGTACACCATGTTGGAATCCGTGAAAAACGCGAAATAGGACGTTATAATTTGACGGTTTTTTCAAGGCTAGAAATCACGTCATAGAGTTTTTACGTCACTACCAAGCTGCGGTAGTTGATGCGCATAAACAATAGGCTGTTTGGTCTTTACAAACGTTGTCTATTCTTATTCAACTTTTAGATTGACAGAGTTACTTATGTAAGGTATTACTATTCTTGTATTTTCCTTTACATAGTCGATGCAAGTAAATCAAATATGTGAATGTGATAAGTATTTGAAATATTGACGTTTACCGTACTGATGATTCTAGACTAGAAGTCTTATGTTGTTTCGTGAAACTTATCGGTCTCATAGTTTTATCTTCACTTTAAAGCTTGTGTGTCCTAAACTCAATGGAGAGTCTTTCAAAGGATATTGTGTAGAAAGTTATATTTCCCCATATACAATTTTTATCTAAACAGAGAAATTGATATAACATGATTTGCTGTAGGCATATTCAATTAGATAGCAATTTCAGCATTTATATTTTGATTGTCAATGATTAAACAGACTTCCATTCTTTGTATATACAATTGACCTGTCGCATAAACAATTGCTTCAAATATACTTAAATTAGAAAGAAAAACCATGAGCGATAAGGCCCTATATTTCCTGTTTTATTCATACTTTTACATCTTGCAATTTCTCTATTTCACATTGAAATATAGGAATGGTGTCATGTCACTCAATGATCCACAATTTCACTAGTGCCTGTATCTCGATATATCCCAGTAAACTAGTCGATATATCCCAGTAAACTAGACGATATATCCCAGGAAACTAGACGGTATATCCCAGTAAACTAGTCGATATATCCCACTAAACTAGACATTGAGAATACGTCCGAAACTACAAAGTCTGTTTCATATCTGGATTTTGTTTTTCTGGAATATTACAAATATGGACGGCAGGATCTGTAATAAACGAGACGATTTCAGTTTTCCTATTGTAAACTTTTCATTTCTCAGTAGTAACATAACCTCAGTCTCATTGTTTTGCGTTTACATATCTAAATTGATACTTTACAGACATGCATGTTCACATTATACGTACTTTATTTATATGGATGGTTATAGAGAACAATGACTGACATCGACACTGCGCAAGTTTAAGGTCACCATCACGAATTGTATGACCAGCATGTTATTTCTGTAGCTCACCTTACGAAAAACATGTTTTGCAGTCTTAGACCATGAGATACAAACATAGTCTTTGATCTATGAATATACCGATTGTGTTCTATTTCCTATTGCGACAAGTTTACATGAGTCTGAAAGCATATGCCTGCTTGGTGATGCATGCATAAAAGGAGACGTGAACACCATTGATGAACCCGGTCTCGCTGACTTTGAGTTCGCGCAATACCTGAAGTTTTCTTCATTATCTTAGTTTGCATATTCAAAATGGCTTACACGTCGGTTTAAAAAATAATTACATTCTAGATGCCCAAATTCCATTGCCTTTGCACAATTTGTGAAGAAAACAATCCGATCAGGATGGTATTAAACAAAACTTTTATGTATTTACGAGTGTATGTGTGTGTTTTTTTTTCTTTCCTTGGATATTCTAGAAACTTAAGATTCTTTGATTTATTTATCTTTCATTTTTGTAACCAACGCATTGGTAGCTGTTTTTTAGTTATTCAAAACGATGGTTTAATTGTTATGCTTGGAGTTCCATTTGCTCAATGTATACCAGGTGCCTTCCGTCGACTTGGATTGTAAAATAGCAGAAAACAATGTGTCTAGATCTTTAATGAAATATGCAAATTTTGAGAGATGAATGTTTGACTTTTCATCTAAATGAAGAAAACTATATGTTACTATCTTATTATTTCGATTGTTTTTACAAATACAGTATATGTTTTGTTTTATTTTTTTTTTCATCTCAGCTATACAAGGGGAGATAATTTAGATACAAATTTATTTTATAAAGGAATGTACAGTAAATTTACTTATTCTATTTTGTAGAAAGAAACAAGTTAGTGACCCTAAATATTATTTTTATTTTCTGAAAGCACATTATAAGAGATATCTTCTCATATTTTTTTCTATTTTCTTTCTATTCACACAACAGGTTTTCCATTTAATTCTAAGATAAATCTGACAATTTTGCACAACTTGTATTTAAAAAAAAACAACATTGTGACCCACACTTATTATTACATTTTTGAAAATAGCATGATATAAACTATATTTTGGCAAAGTATTATACATTTATCTTTTTTTTTTTTATTTAGACCACATCTACCTCAATTTTGATGTTGTTTTGTTTACAAGAAACACTCGGTTTAATCGGATTGAAACTATTACTCTCAATTGGTACAAGTATAAAGTCAATCAGTACAACGCGTCTCTTTATTATCTTCGTACCTACATAAACTGATAGTAAACGTTACAAACAAGGCTTTACATATTCAAATATTTTAAATGATCCATTGTAAATACACAACGGTTCGTATGGTATCACGCTCATAAAGTAAACGGCTGAAAACAGGGTAACCAAACAACAAAAGTTATGTTTGACCATGATCTTTTCCGCCTTTTTTTCCCTTCGTTTTTAAAAGCCTCTCCTTGGTATCCTCATATATATACATATATATATTATCCAAAACATATCTAAAGGAAACTATACGGTCAAATAAAAGGCAAGCGCGCAAACTCAAATCGTTTCCAGTACAATGCAATTTCCAATGTATGAATAAGAAGAATAAGAATATTGTATTGGTTTCTAATCCAAAATTATAGGATTGCTACCAAACTTTCACGAAAGATATTATGTACGATGACCAGTTATTAATAGGACGACGTACTTCAAAACTCCGTGCATAACCTACTGAACAACAAAGGTCTGTTTGTGATGATGTAATAAGGACGGGTCATTTAAGAACGTTTTTCTTCCTAATTCAAATGTTTATCTTACATTACACTATTCAGATTATTACTTATCAATATTCCGAACACACATACATTGAATTATGGTTGGATATGGTGTACACATTAATATTCTTGTTTTTATGTTTCAAACAATCTACGCAGGTATTTGGAATTTGTTACACTCATTTCTGTTTTTAAATTTATGATTTTATTTAATGAGTCTTTGGGTGATGGAGTGCGGTAGTTAATCCTCGTTGATAATGTACTTGGCTTAAATATTATTATACTATTATAGACATGTTCGGAATGTCGTCTATTCAGATACTGATACTGACACCCATACCCTACGCCAACTGAGCAATAGAAGGGTCGTACCAAACTGTCGAAATATTCTGAATCAATATTGATTGGATTTCGCCTAAAATTTGTCCGAAAACCAGTTTAAAAACAATGTACATGTACCCCACACCAACTTTTCGGTTGTGTAAGAGAAGGAGTGCTTCCAAATTGTGAAATGGGAGATTCCGTATGAAATAGTATTTTTTCAAAATACGGTATCTCTTTGTTTTCCACTCACTTATTGTTTTCTTAAATGTGTCTGGTTTTTTTTTGGTCGGATGATAATGTAACGTTATAATTACAATTATATATTTACAAGTAGCACTTCCGTTTTTACTAAACGACAGATATTTTTTAACCAAAGCTTTTTAAACCGCCACTAGAGGCATGCATACATATTTAGTTTTCCCTTTTTTACTATATTATTTTGAGTATAGGCCTATGTAATAATGAGGCAAAGATTGTAAGTTGAATAAGATATTCCAAACCCTTGAATATATATTTATCAGTATGTAGATAAATCCATTCATCTAATAAAAATTGCTGTTCAGAGATATTTTCGTTTTTGTATGATGAAAGTAGTAAATTGTCGGAAAATAACGTCATTTTACAAGGCAATATATGTTTTCAAAAGAAACATTTTACGAGGATATTTTATTAGTTACTGTTTATAATTCTGCTAAGAGGATTTCTTTTTAAAAAATGGCGTTTAAACATTTTTTTATTGACCAAATTATCTGCAACGAATTAAATTTGAGCAGCCTCAAACGTCGATGTCAGTTGTTCTAGAAAAAGTATCACATCAAAAGCTTTAAGCGTTCCTGTTTTCAATACAGGTTTCCTTATGCAAAGAAAAAAATCAAATTTCATAAAATCAATATAGGCAACTACTTAGTCTAGCTAATAACTTATTACAAGTACACCTTAAAGCAAAACGAAATTGAACTCTAAAGCTCGGGCAATTTTAATGCCCATAAATCCGGAAGGGACAAAAATATACAAGTTCGCTTTCGACACACCTTGTATTGTCGGATATCATTATGATTGGTTGATTTTCTTCTTTCTAACTTTAAACATTCCATGCAAATTCAAAGAAGGGAACAAATTAAAGCTTAATAATGTCTGTTCTAGGAAATATATATGGATGGTGGGAAATTGGTCGCTGAACTTAGTCAGAATGTTGTATAGATGCATTGCAACAGATAAGTAATTAAGGGACCCACAAAGACTTCTTAAAAATTCCGAGGTCGTGTCACTCTACCATCATGGGGGACCGGATTAAAGTACATCAGTTTTTGTACCGCAAGTTCCCAAATTCAAAGGCATGAAATTAAATTGGACGTTATACACATCTGGTGAATGAACGTGAAAATATTCAGTTACTGAGAAAACATGGGTTACAAAGGTGTTAACCAAGTCATTTTGACGACTTTAAAAATTCTTCATACATAAGACCAACATATTCTGAATATGAAAATTTCTAATAGAGTCTTTTTTTTCAAAACACTTGATTGAATTTAACTATATGTATAATACAATTTTGTCAGGTACATTAAAAAATTTACTGGTAACAAATATTAAAGACACATCAGCAACTATAAAATGGAGACCACCCAATCAAGTCAGTGGAATCCTGAACGGTAAATATTCTTCTAATTATTAGGAATAATATCAAATGTCATTATTTTATTGAATTTCTCATGTGCAGTGGCAAATAATGAATAAATTTTAAAATAAGGAGATGTGGTATGGTTGCCATGCAATGAGACAACTATCGACCAGAGACCAAATGACGGGGATATAATCAATAAACACCTTTTTGTTATTAAAATTTGAAAATAAATTCATCATCAATTCAAATCTACACCAATATGAATGAAAGGAGATGTTGGGTGTGGGTCAATAATACAGCAAAATATCATAGCGCAAGTTTTTTTTAAATAAGTTTTCTATTTGAAAAGGTTTCCAAAAAAATATACGCACTGAATCAGCTAAATATGTATGTAAAAAAGATCATTTTACAGCATTTTAAATTGAAAGTTAAAGTTTAGCCTAAAACTGAAACAGTCTTTCTTCTTACTGTATTCATCTCAAATTTAGAACCAGTCATACATAACATGAAGCACTTATGCATATCCTTAATGAATGTTAACAATGTTATACACTTTCAAATTATTAATAATAGCTTCAATTGCACCTGTCTTATGTTTGTTCTTTAATTGGCCTGGTTAACTCTTTTGATTCGAGCGTCACTGATGAGTCTTTTGTATACGAAACGTTCGTCTGGCATAGAAAATTTTAATCCTGGTTTCTATGATGTGTTTATTATTTGAAATTTAAAGCCTTGACATAAATAAATCTGAATGATTTGGAACTATAAGTAGAAATACTGTTTCGGATTTATAGGTAGCAAGCCTTAGCAATAACATATTTTATTTCGTATATTATTTAATTTTCAGGTTATCGCATAAAATTTGAAGAAACGGGTCATCCTAAAACAGGGTTTGGTGTTTCTGTCCTGGCTTCAAATTTAAATTATACGATTGCTGCTCTGAGTCCATCCACCAATTATACAGTGTCGCTTTTTGCCTCAACTAATATGGGACGTATGCTTATATCATCAACGAAATTCAAAACAACCGATACTATTGGTTAGTCTTACAGATCAACATTCGTGACCTTATATGATCGAAATTAACCTGATTTAAGAACGGCATTTGATGCAATATCCAAACGTTAAACAAAGATGCCAAACATAGCAGTTTCAAGAGATTTTGGCCAATTTAGAGTATTTTTCTCAAAAAAGTACAAAAAGGACATTTTTATCCAAAACTAAAGTTCTGTTGAAAGTAAAGCTATGTATTATCTTGTATACAAATTAATGCAGTTTGGTTATCGATGTCCTTTGATGCAAACTCGGACAAGAACGTGCAAAAAATTGTAATCTTGTATAAAAATGCCTTCAACAACAACATGAAGCGATAAATAACTTTTTTATAAATTTTATGGAAATATTTTATATTGTGACAATTTAGTTTGAATATATGATATTCATTTCCCAGTAGGATTTGATAACTTTAAGATTCTTATCCTGTGAATGAAACAATCACAGATGAAATCACTCCTACGCCTTTGTAGTATATGTGTGGTGTATATCATTATGACTAAAAGGAGAACTGACATAAATATCAAATGAGACTACAAATCAACTACATACCACCCCCCCCCCCCCCAAAAAAAAAACCCCAGAGAAAACAACAAATAAACGAAAAAATTAAAAGACAGATATGTATTTTTATCTTAAACAGACAATCATGTGTACTATATGTCAGGACTAAATCACTTCAGATCTAAACAAGTTTTAACTCGACATATCCGCCGTCAATACCCGAATTTCTAAATGGCCAAAGACTTTAAGAACAACTTCAACAAGATAGTTCAACATTTTGCTGGGTTGAAAAAGCTTGTTGAGTACTCAAACCTGTTAAAACATCAAAACGTTACCAGTTATAAATTCATGTCTTCTGAACTATGTCTGAAATAATCTTTTTTAATAATAATAAAAAAAAGTCTACTTATTTTAAAAAATCAAAGTTGACATTATTTCAGCTATAACAACTACAGTTTATAGTTCTGGAACATGTAATGACCATCTCTTTGATTGTTTAAATGGTAGATGCATTCCGTATCAATGGGTTTGTGACGGTGAGAACGACTGTGGAAACTTGAAAGACGAAGAGAACTGTATAATGCAAAGTAAGTTTGTAAATTCATAATACATACTTCAAGTGAAAGAAGATGTTGAATAAAATTTCAGTTAAAGGGGAACTTGCCCACTATTCATAAATGTAGTCCATTAAAATCCTCAATTTTCAATCTGAAACTGAGCCAGCGTATAAATGACGGATGCGCAACGTCTAGCGTGTAATATCTCGACAGTATTTTAGGGTGTAAAAGTGTAAATATTTGAAGTGCCAATGGAATAGCCGTATGAATATAAATATGAAAAAAATGTGAATAAACTGTCTATTTGTACTACAGCATCAACGTTTCATGTCATATTTCGCAATAAAGTTACCACGCATCTTCAAACTTTTCCATACAACTAATGCTGACTACGTGAAAACTGAAAAAAATAAAAAGTTCTTTAGTTCCTTATAGAATCGTTAAATATTAATCTAATTATAAATGAAATTATGACCTCATTGGGTCATTTATGATGCAACGCATTTTACGCACATCATTCGTTTTTGAATCAAATTACTAAAAGGGGATTCCACAGTGCTATGTTATCCGTATCTTTCTCCTACTCTACGACGGTAACAGTATGATATGTATATGAACACTCCCTTGTCGTAAACTGAGGCGGATTCCTGGCGTGCTAGCTGAAAAAAAAGAATACTCACCAAACAATGGTTGACCCATTGGCGACTAACCTATACCTAGAACCCAAGATGCTGTGTGATTAGCAGATTAGCACCAAATATCCGTATCTACGTCGACCAGACAACGAGTCTTTGAGCTTAATTGTACCGCGCACCAGTAGAGAACAATACCACCAGATCAATCAGGTTTAATCAAAGCTGTCAAAAATAATTTGAAAGTGCTTAACCTTTTAAGATTAATTATGGGTGTGCGTAAGTGATTCGTTTTATGTAAGTCTGTATGTAAGTCTGCTTCTAAATCAATTTGAAATGTATGTAAAAAAGGACTGTCTGAGTTATTGGTCCAACTTTCTCTTTTAATTTGAAATGCGGTAAAATTCACACACAAACTAGAATCCATTTTTTCAAATTACCTACATATCCTTTTTAGAATTCTGTCAGACAGCAACAGGTCACTACGTGAATGGAATTACATTTTTTCATTAAACTGGGTTTTTTTTTATTGGACATGTACGTCTTTTAACTGTGTTTGGCAATGGGTTTAACGTTTCAAAATATTTTTTGTAGAAGTAGAATGTAGCAGTTCAGAGTTCAAATGTAGTAATGGAGGTTGTATTCCCGCTAAATGGCGTTGTGATTATAATGACGACTGTGGTGACAACAGCGACGAGCAAGGCTGTGGAAATACTTTGTCTGGATGTGGTGGGTTAAAAAATAAGACGGGAACTGTAGGTAATATCAGAGGAAGATACAATCCATATGACTTCCCTAATAATAGGACTTGTACATGGGACATTACTGTTCCAGATGACATGGTAAGTACATTCTTTACACACAGTTATAACATCAAAGAACGAAACAACATGATAGACTGCATGGAATAGAATAGAAGTGGATATATTGCTCCCAGTTTTATTTAAAAACAAGTGAATGGACATATTCATTTTACTGTCTCAATATTACGTCTCCAGTCAATGTCGTTCAATATATGGCATCTACATTTTACTTTAGAACCTAGTTATGTTTAAACTGACAAGCGAACTACATTGAAACTGTGATGTGTTGTTTGTTCTTTGTGTTGATTGATAATGTTCTGAATCTGTCTCCTTGTGTTCATCTCGGATCTTAATTGAACCAATTTAATATAATTTGATATTACTTGTAACAGTTTTTAAAGTCCTTTGACATTTTTCTAAATACTACAATTCTTTCTCAGAAACTTCTCTAATAATGTTCTAGAAATTTCATACATGACATACTGTACAGACATTCGTCTATTGTTGAAGGCTATGTTGACATCCTATATGATTTTTTCGTTGATTGTATTGTTGTGTTGTTGTTGGATTGCTGTATTGACGTAAATTCTATTTTTCTTATATATTCTCATTGAATTATATCTTTGGTAAATTGTGTGTAAATTTTGCAGCTAAATGATTACTCTTATTTGCAAGCAGTAATACGCTCTTTAATAGTGGCCTTTCTCTTGTACTTATTTGGAAATGTGTTCTTGCTGACATTAACAAATGAATTTCGTCTTCCATGGAGATGTGGTTTTACTTCAAATGAAGCAATACAATGAGGTTAATATACGGTCTGCAACAATATGCAAGCAAGCGTATACACATTATCCATTCCCTTACTCAATTCCCAATTAAAAAGCAAGTGAAGACAGCCAATGGTGATGATCCTGACTTTTAAAAACGTTAACATTTACATGTGGCAGAGGTTCAACAAGTTTTTATTCGTATTCTTACCCATTCGATTAGTACTACTCTTATATCGTCGACTGTACAGAAACATTATTAGAAGTGCTGCAGGAATACACTATTTTGTACACTATCCAATTGCATTGTTTTAATAGAATGCCAATATAATAAATACAGAACAGTAAATATAGACAAAAGTATGCACTCGAAAGAGTTGGAACTTGGACCAGGACTCTTCCATAATAGTTTTAAAAAAAATCATGCAAATATAAATTTAATTTCAAATAAAATATAACTTACCATAAGTGAACAATTCTTTTTTATCTTTTCATTACAGTTTATCAAAATTCATTTTCTAAGCAGATTCCGAGTTAAAGCATCTCAGGAGAATTGCACGGATAAATATGTTGCAGTATATCAGGATAATGGAAAAGCGTTAGGTATGTTTGATATTTTTTGTGGTAATTACAGCAATACGTTGGGTTCACCAGTACAACAGAATTTGCTTACCCTTCCGGAATTAAAGAGATCATCCCCGGTTTTTTGTAGGGGTTCCTGTAGCTTAGTCTTTAATTTTCTACGGAGTTTTTGGTAGACTGTTGTTTGTTTTTCGTCAGTTTTTCTTTTTGGCCATGGTATTGTCTGTTTTTCTTGGTCTTATGATTTTTGATTGCCCCCTTAGTATCTTTAAGAATAGAGAATGGAAACGAGGAATGTGTCAAAAAGACAGAAACTAGACCAAATAGCAGAAAACAGCCCAATGCCTCAAATGGGTTTTCAATGCAGCAAGAAAATCCCGCACCCGGAGGCAAGCTTCAGCTGGCCCCTAAATAATAATGTATACTAGTTCAGCGGAATGGATGCTACACTAAACTCCAAAACACACAAATGAACCATAATTTAAAAAAAAACCCACACAAGACTAACAAACGCTAGAGGTTTTTGACTTGTGACCTGCGCAAAATTGCGGCGGGGTTAACATGTTTTGTGAGATCTCGACCCCCCCCCCCCCCCCCCCTATACCTCTAGCCAATGTGGAATAAACAAACACACAGCAAAACGCACAATAAAACTGAGTTCAAAAGATTTCCGAGTCCGATGTTAGAATAGGTATTAGGTCACAGAAGAAACTAAGCAAAATGATAATGTATACATAAATTAACAAAGGACTACTACCAGTTCCTGACATGCCAGCTCTAGACTTCAATTAAACTGATTGAAAGATTATGTCCTCATCATATGAAAAACAACCACAATCCCACCCGTTAGTGGTTTAGCATCATTCCATCATACATTTTTTGCATTTTTTTAATGATAATTTCAAACATATTGAAATGTGATCTCTCCCTCATTCTCTCGAAAAAGTTACTGCTAATCATATAATTAACTTGATATATCCTCTATCTTCAGAATCTTCCAAAACTAGATTATCTTATATTTGTGCTTTAAATTGCCCTCAATTGTACAATATCTATTTAATTGGCTGTGTATTGTGTGGTGTACAATATTTATTTAATTGGCTGTGTATTGTGTGGTGTACAATATTTATTTAATTGGCTGTGTATTGGGTGGTGTACAATATTTATTTAATTGGCTGTGTATATTGTGTGGCGTACAATTTTAGGTAAATACTGTGGTAGAAAACCTCCACTTGATATGACAATAGAAAGCAACCATGTACGGATTGTTTTCAAGACCATCAATATGACCAGATACGAGGGATTTTCAATGCACTGGTCAGCAGTAAATGGTATGTACTGCGATATTTTTGATTAGGTGTTTCCACTTTTCTGTGGAAAGAACTATTGTATTTGTTCTGATTATTATTATTATTTTTTTTTTCCGCCTAATTTTGTTCTTGCGATAAATATTTGTTTCGCAATATGTCGCTTAGATATTTCTCATATTGTATCATATAGTTTATGCGCTTTTAAATTTCACCCTGCTTAGCCGAACCATTGTCTTTGCAAGAGTTATCTCCCAATTCACTGTTTATCATCTGTGTGCATCTCCTTCGTAACAAAAAAAAGTTATCGACAAAATTCTTTTTCTAAATTGTTTGTTACATCCTCAGGAATGTTTGCCTAATTTGGATCGAAGCGATCCAGTGAGATCTTAAAGGAGTTATCTGCCTTTACCAAATTAATTTGTCGTTATGTTTTTGTAACACGTAAACCGTAAGCCGTATAAAAAAGATTTGACCAAAATGTTAGTCGCGACATGATATAACTGGAAAGTTTTTGTCAAAATGGTACGCGTCATTGTTTTAGGGGTTCCATGCCGCTGAAATAGTAAAATGAACAAAATGAACTAATTATAGCCTCAAACTTTGCAGCTATCATGATGTATACACACATCTTATCTTAATTTATCAACCAAGGTCCACCATCCTCCACCTCCCCTCTCCCCCCCCCCCCTTTTTTGTTTTATTTTTTTTCTTCTACTTTGAGGAATCCCATTTCGCCTTGAAGTTCAGTCCTGTACATTTTACTGTAAAAATGCAATCCTTCTGATGTACAAACTTCTTAAATAGAAATTCATTCCTGCAAAAATCGGCTCCAATTCATGTTCCCGTTAGACGCGGTCCGCTTGATTGAGAAATAAAGTTCAATGACGTAAAAAAATCGTAAATATTGCTGAAATCTTACAATCAAATTTTTTAATCATGCATTAAAATACAAATCTGTGCTCCCGTAAACATGTGTTCGTAAGATGCATGCATGATCCGTCATCAATGACCTGTAAATAATAAAACCAATATCCGATCAGTACACATGTGCTCTGTTCAACGGTCTCCCCTGAAAAGAAATTCCAGACATATATATTCGAGCGTCACGTGACTTCAAAACATCATCACGCGCGCGGACCTAAAATTAGAATAAAACATTCGAGATCCATATCCAAATATGGAAAGTCAAACTTTCAAGACAAAATGTTACTCATTTTTTTCCCCCTATAAATTGAAACAAAATGTACACACAACACATAAAAGAAATCATGAAGTACCAGTTCTCGTAGCAAATAGAGAAAATTAGAAAAAAAAAGATGTTAGGATTTTTATTTATTAGGAAATCCTTAGGCTGTCCGTTTGGGAGTGCGGGATGTACAAGTACGCAGCTCGGTCAGAATATGAACGTCAAGTCCGATGCCTCGCATAGAGAGAGTGTCATGCAATCAATCAATCAATCAATCAATCAATCAATCAATCAATCGATTGATCAACCAACCAACCAACCAACTAATCATGTTTCGGAGGGGAAAGACCGTTTAACAATTGTTTTTAAAACAATTGATTTATATTTGTTAATTATTTTGTTTTAATCAACTAAATAAATCATTAAATAAATGATGTGTATTTTTGGTATACTGATATTTGTATGTTTAGTTTGATATGAAGGAAGGAATACTTTTTATAAGAATACATTTATACACAATGTTTATCGCGTAGATATTTATATTAAGAATGAGGGTGGTAATTGGAATTCATTTGAGAGAGAAAAAAAAAAACATTTTGATAAACCATAATACCTCTAGCATACCACTTTCCATGAATAGAAGAACAGATGAACAAAAAGATGTGAGGGTGATACATTAATGAGACAGCAACTCATCAACAAGTAACAGACACAATAGCAAAATATCAGAAACAGGATCGCAAAAAAATGAAAAGGATGACTAAAATAAAGGAAATGTTTGAGTAAAGAAAGGAGGAAGAAGAAAAAATACTTACTTCATGTTTGTTAAATTAAGTATTTCAAGTTTATTGTCTATACGTGTAACCACATCCAATAATCGGCTATCGGGTTGGCAGATTCAACGGGATTTAATTTAAAACAATTGGTTTTTTTTTATGTTTGTCTACGTTTTCAATTGCCATTGCAATACAATAGGTTTTGTCATCAAATGTAACAGATTATTGTCTGTGTTACCTTTTGCATCTGCCATACCGATAGCCGATAACACCTGATATTATTGATTGAATGCTTATTTTAATTCTTCAGCAACAAAAAACAATAGCGGACCAAATCAATTGGATAAACTTGTTTGTAATAAAGTGTTCACTATCGACAACGAAACTACACGGTACATTGATACTTCAGAACTTAATCAAACCTTTGACTTCCAATGTGTATGGTTTATTGAAGCACCAAAAGGTTATAGTATCCGTTTCCGGTTCACTGATTTCAATCTAAATGAAGACAGATATTGTTTACATGACTCTATACTTATAATGGACGGACCAAATTTAAGCATTCCGTTTGGACCATATTGTGGACAGACCATTCCATTGGATATAGTAACCTCATATCATATAGCAAAGATTATTTACCAGTTAGATCCTATCAATGGGACCAGTGGGTTTTCTCTGCAGTTTTCTGCAGTAGGTAAGTAATGCATACTTAATCTCGTGAAAAGTTCTTGGTCTTTATCGTATTTCGAAGAAAAGAATAGAAAAAACAAAAAAAATTCAGATCACAGATTTATATATTTTTTTATATGAAATGGTAATGTATACATACCTACTAAAAATAAGTATTTGTTGTATTATACCCCTCTCATTTAAGGTAGTTGTGTACTCTGAAATAACCAGAAATTTACTTTCGATAAATTGATTATTTAAAAAAAAAAAATCATATCATCTAGCGAATATATGCATGTATTTTTTTAGGTCCTTTTTGATCATATAGCTCATCATCTGTTTCGGTTCTTATACATCCTTGGTTTTCAAATATTCGGCTTTGAGCGTTCCTGATGAAGGTAAATCCAGAAAAGCGCTTCGGACGCATGATATTTATAACGTGTTGTTTTCAGTTTTTTTATTTTAATTACATTTGTACTTTAAGAAATGTACAAATGTATGTTGTCTGCTCTTTGGTCGGGTTGTTGTCTCTTTGACATATTCCCCATTTCCATTCTCAATTTTATGGAGAAGAAATTACATAATAAGTTTTTTTAGACTATTGAGTCATCAAATGTTGATTAAGAATGGAATAAAAAACTGTATGAAACAGTAATAACTTAGGTATGTCGTCTTTTTGAATAAATAAATTTTTTTTTTCTTCCTACAGAAATGCCTACGCCTCTACCTTTTCCAAAGATCCTGTGTGACCATGATATATATTATACAGAACCTGATTCTATCGTGTCACCAAATTATGGATATGGCAACTACTATCCTAGACTTCGTTGCTTATGGAGAATATTTGCCCCAAGTGGATACTTAATAAGGCTTCATTTTACATATTTTGACATTGAATTCAGTCAAAATTGTTTATATGATGCTTTGACAATAATAGATGGAACTTCTCCATCCGGTGATGTTCTCACTACTTTGTGTGGACAGATGTTCCCGGATGATGTTTTATCGAAGACTAACTCGGTTGTGCTTACATTTGTGAGCGATGATAACAAATCGGGATCGGGATTTAATATCACTTATACAATTGAAAACAAAACCGGTAAATATTTCATAAATAAATAGAGATAATTTTTTATACACTTATCCTCCTTATTTTTATATTGATAGAAAAAAGAACATTAATACAAATTAGAGTGCACGAAAACAGGTATCTCTACGTTTGCTTCCCTACGTTTGGGTTTGAGAGAGGCGATTTTAATAACCATGTTGATAAACGTTTAAAAAACATTTTCTATTTGACAATCTGATGGAGGCAATATAAAAACATTTCAATGAACTATTCTTCTTGCCGGTTTTGCTGATTTGTATTATAAATTTGAAATGTACATCGTAAATTGTTTTTATTTTACAGAAGTTGATAACGGTAATATAGTGGAAAAATTATGTCGCAACGGTACTGTTATATCAAAAAATGATTCTCAAGGAGAAATATTATCGCCTGGTTATGCGCTCGGAAGGAAATATCCGACAAACATTAACTGTTCATGGTTTATTGAGGCGCCTGTGGGAAAAGTTATTTCACTTACTTTTAATGTGAGTTTTTCGTTGTTCCTTTGCCTAATTAATATATGCAACAAACTTGCTGGACGAAATCATATGATTTTAAGTTTCTTTAGTCCTAATCAGTATTCATAATGTATAAAACTTCCAACAGTGGAGTAAATAGAACCATTAAATGATGTTAATACTTAGCTGGTAGCGAGGATTGTGCCAACAACTTGATTTGTTTCCTATCTCACGGATCATTAACTATTGTGGTCAATATATTAGAGGAACTTACTGAGTACTTCGGAATGAAAAGGGGGTCACTTGTTTGGAGTAATGTATTGCGTTTGATATTCAGGTGTATTTGCGTCTGCCGTACACAATTATAAGCCTGGTATCTTTGATGAGTTTTTTCGTTACAACCACTGGGTCGAAACCACTGCTGTTGGTGGTTTCTTCCCCGAGGTTATCATCAACCCAGTAGTCAGCACTTTAGTGTTGACATGGCATATCATTATATATTCATATTTATGAATTATCAGTTTACAAAGATTGGAATTGTTCTGAAAACTCAGGATTTTCTATCTCCAGGAATAGATTACCTTAGCTGTATTAGAAAAAAACCTTTCGGAAAATTTTGGGTTTCAACTTTGAACGTGAGTTGGCCTTATAACTTTTTTTTTATTCGTGCGTCACTGATGAGTCTTTTGTAGTCTGGTGTACAAAATTATAACTTGGCCTGGTTTCCTCGGTGAGTTTTTTTTCATATTGAATACACGAAACTGATCAAATTGAGAGCAAGTTATTCATGTGGTGATATTCATATGAAGAGTATGAATCTGAAAAAATTATCTCCCTTAAGTCATTTATTACCAATTGTTATATTTCAAACTTACAGTATTCAATTTACGTTTTGTATAAAAACCTATAAAGACTTTTGGATGCAAGTATCTAAATTTACAGTGAATATTTGCCATGTCATTTGGTGATGCAATACTAAAACGCAAAAAAATAATAATACACGTTTGTAATATATCATGGAAATTTGATTCGATTACACAAAGTTATTGCCAAATGTATGATGTGATATTGAAATACCAACAATTGAATAACTTTTCTTTTCATTATAATGTTTACAGGATTTTGAAGTAGAGAATGAACGAGATTGTCATTTTGATTCAATGTCAATATTCGACAGGACTAATGGCGTAGACACATTGATTCAGACATTGTGCGGACCTGCATATCCAAACAGATTGACCTCTACCAGTAACCTTCTGTTTATGGTATTTCATAGTGATGATAGTGATACAAGATGTGGATTTAATATAACATATGCTTTTCGTGATCCTATCCGTAAGTTTAAAAAAAAATATCTTGTGTTTGATTTTTATGCCCCACCTAGGGGCATTATGTTTTTCGGTCTGTGCGTCCGTTCGTTCGTCCGTCTGTTCGTTCGGTCGTTCGTACGTTCGTCCGTCCGTCCCGCTTCAGGTTAAAGTTTTGGTTAAAGTTTTTGGTCAAGGTAGTTTTTGATGAAGTTAAAGTCCAATCAACTTGAAACTTAGCACACATGTTCCCTATGATATGATCTTTCTAATTTTAATGTCAAATTAGAGTTTTGATCCCAATTTCACGGTCCACTGAACATAGAAAATGATAGTGCCCGCTTCATGTTAAAGTTTTTGGTCAAGGTAGTTTTTGATGAAGTTGAAGTCCAATCAACTTGAAACTTAGTACACCTGTTCCCTATTATATGGTATTTCTAATTTTAATGTCAGATTAGAGTTTTGATCCCAATTTCAAGGTCCACTGAACATAGAAAATGATAGTGCGAGTGGGGAATCCGTGTACTAAGGACACTTTCTTGTTTTACTTATGGTTTAGATAGTTTAATTAACAATACACAACTCACAATCAATTTCGTTCCAGGTAAAATGTTGCAACCGATAATTAATAATCTTGAGAAGTAACTGCAATCTGATATTACAGAAGGAACTCGAGAGGGACCAACAGACTGAAAAAAAAACGTATTGGCATTGACTTGAAGAAGAAGAAAAAAAGAATGTTAATGATGTTCAATTAACGAAACGACAGTAAAATTAAAAATACAAAATGTTTACCGATTACAGGTGAAACATTGTAGTGTTTTCTGTAATACAAGCTCATATTGATGATCTTAATTATTTTCAGCATCTTGCTTAACATCCGAGTTCAGATGTGGTAATGGTAGTTGCATCGATTCTTCATTGGTTTGTAATAACGTATCTGAGTGTAGCGACGGAACAGATGAAATAGTATGCAGTAAGAAGGCAAAATTATTTAATGTTTTATTCAATTTTTATTTCTTAGTTTTTGGAACATAGAATACGCTTTGTCCTTGCTTTTATAGTTATAACTGTTTTTTTTATTCATGTCGGTTAATGCATGCATAGCATGAGCCGCTTAGGTTTAGGCAAAGTTGACCTAAGATAAATTTGGCTATTCTCTTGTTGTATTTTGATCATATAACTCCTAACGCATACAGGTAATTAAACATCATCTACTTTCAAATGTTTTGGTTCGAATACCTGATAAAGGTAAATCAAGAAAAGAATTTTCGGACGCATGATATTTATAAAGCGTTATTTTCATATACGCTTTCAACACATCCGGTTTCAATCAATTTGGAAATTATGCAATTTCATCAGGTTCTCTCCCTTGAAAGGTATATTCTAACTTGTATCGGTAAACTGCTCCTTATTAACGAAAAAGCCATCATATTTTTATGCTTGATTTATAGAAGATTTATAATTCATTCAAACTGATAAAAATTGGGTGATAAAACTAACTGCGAAAATGTAAATGATTTGTCTTTTCAATTTCTTTAGATATCTACTGCCCTCTTAAAATGAAAATACTCGAACCCTTTCTAAGCTTTTGTGCTGATGATGCTTGTTGACAAATTTGCTTAGAATTCTTTCTATTTGAAAGTTAATCCCCAACATTGCAAATGTAGTTCGCTATGTGTCTTTTAACAGGTTTGTATGATAAAAATTGTGGAAAACCATCTATTCAACCAGTAAACGTAGATCACAGAATATTTGGGGGACAAGAAGCTAAGCCAGGAAGCTGGCCATGGCAGGTTTCTTTGAAACATGATGGTGATCATTTATGTGGTGGAACTTTGATTCATCCTGAATGGATAGTTACAGCGTCACACTGCTTTGAACGGTCAGTTCTTTCTTATACTTCGTAAAAGTTTTTATTAATACTTTCTATGTTGTATTTTAGCAGGTCACTGGTCAATTTCATTTTTTAATGTATAAAGGAATTATTCTGAAGAAGAAAAGAATGTAAACATAAATGATATGAGTGAAATTGAAGGAAATTTTATATCAAACATCAGCAATATCTCGGATGATTTCAAATATCAGGACCGATCGCTCTTTGTGAGATTTATGCCCCTTTGAAATGTAAACGAATTGGAAAATCAACATTTTATGCGAGCAATCACATGTTATTTCTCATCGTCGTTTGATAAAATTTATACCATAGGTTTACTTCAAAAATATCTTAAACGATTTAAAAAATCTGCTCTGAACTACTATTTTTAAGGGCGTTAATGTCACTAGGCAATGTATAATAAACAGAAAATCAACATTATAAGTGCCGTTGTTTCCATATTTCTCATTCAAGTTTAATGAAAAATATTCTCTGGTTGCTAGCTGTTTCATTGACAATCATATCACATCTACATATATATTGTCATTGCACGACAAACATGTCTTATTGTGTCGTTTGTATTTGTCTAGGCATCGATCAACAAAACATTGGACAGCAAATCTTGGAGAGCATCACATGTACAAAGATGACCCTGGTGCAGTACAAGCAGCAGTAAAGACCATTATTGTTCATGAACATTATGGAGCTGTTAGTACCAATAACGACATAGCTTTAGTTCAGCTACAGATACCGCTAACATTGAACGATAAAATAGATACTGTATGTCTCCCAAAAGTAATGTTCAAACCAGGAACTCTTTGTTATGTGACAGGATTTGGAGAAGTTCTAGGTATATAGTTATACTTTTTAAAAGTCTTCTTACATGGTTTATAACACACTTTTCTTAAATTCTACGTTGATTCATGCAGTAGTTATTAAGAAACTCCGTTAGGAAAATTTGACATATGGTGGATGTGGTTATTCTTTTTGGGTTCCCTTTTGACTTTACCTTTCCTGATGAAGGTTAATCCAGAAAACGCAACAAATTTTTAAAGTGTTATTTATCATTTGCATATGTGTAAATAATAACGTTTGCACTGACTGGCGTTAATGTTTTTATATCACGATAAAGATAATTTCGCTTCCAGTACAGTAATTGCCTTGTAGAAATCCTTACTGGGGTCTTAGGCAATGACAATCATTAAATTACACCTCAATACGTAACTGGAAATTGTTTTAATTATATACAGTGGTGCGAGGATTTTTTTAAAATACTTCAACGTCAGTCAGAGAAAATAAATAATAAATCATGGTTTCTTACACTCTTAATCGACACGAATTTAGACAAGTTTTAAACTAATTTGACTACCAATGATCTGCTATAAAGACTAAATTCTACGATATTAATAAACTTAAGACAGACATTGACGAGGTTCTTGATTTTGGAATTCAAGGTGGCGGAGTTCAAGATGATTATCGAGTATTCAACAAGTCTCTGTTCTTGTCTCAATCAGTTGGATAGTAAAATGTACAAAGAAAGACGTACAATAAAAATCAGTTCAGAAATAAAACCAAACATGTACAAGTTAAGCAATACTTTTACCGTACGGTGGCATATGGTTGCTTACTACCACTTCATTTTAACTCTGGTGGATAGTTCATCTCATTGGCAATCATACATTTTTATATTAATGAAGCAATTGAAGTATTCTATAACTTTTGTCTATCCATTGAAGAAGGAAACTCGTACACATATATGAATACAAGAATATATAGGGTATCCGTCAAGTAGACAGCAGCCAACAACTCAAGAAGTGAAATAAGTTTGTCAATGACATGACCATAAAACGGTAATTGTGAAATGCCATTGCCAAGTAAATTCCTTTAAAGTATATCATACATTTATGTCAAAGTTTTCTCTCATTTCTCAAATGAATGTTCTCCAAATAATTGGGTTTTTTTACAATAAAAGTGACAAAGCACATGCTTTAAATTTGTTATTAAGGGTGTTGTATACAATTTGTGTATCTTTATTTTAGGCACGTGTTGCCCTTTTGTATTGAAGCAAGCAGCAGTGCCAATTGACGATCTTTACATGTGCAATGAAACATCAAACTTACAAGGACAAATTACAGAAAACATGTTTTGTGCTGGGAAAGGAGGGAATGATGCCTGCAATGTAAGATTTGATTTTTTGGGAATCAGTATTATATATCTTGCACGTAATTTGTCTTCCGGTAATGTATCTTTTTTTCTTATCCTTGAAATTCAAACGAATACTAAAATGTCGTATTTCTTCTTGCAGCTCATAACTGTTTTTACTGGTGTTCATAGTCACAATGTTGAAACGAACTTAAACGTGTTGATTTGTTTGTTTGTGTAACCCCCTTTTCCGCTACCATTGGGACGTATTGTGGTATACCGTTATCCGTCCGTCCGTCGTCAACACTTCAGACTCAAAAAAGCTTTCACCAATTTTCATGAAACTTTGGTGAATTGTTTATATCTAAAGACATAAGCTCCCTTTCGATTTTTATAAATTTTAGATTTTGCATTTCCGAGTTATGGGATTTTATTCATAATAAATGGGAAATTTTCCAGTTTTCGGACAATATCTCAAACACACTTTGAGCAGTTTTCATGAAACTTTGGTGACTTGTTTATATCTATTGAAATGAGCTCCGTTTTTTGTCTCGCCTGCGACGAAAGTCGCAGTATGCGAGACATAGGTATTACTATCCGGCGGCGGCGGTGGCGGCGTAAACTATTTGTATAAAGCTTTATGTTTCAGAAGGTAGAAGCCCTGGATGCTTCATATCTTGTATGCAGATACCTTTTGTTACGAAGTTTCCGTCAATCATATGTCCATTGTCCTTGACCTCATTTTCATGGTTCAGCGACTGCTTGAAAAAAAATTTGAGTTTTTTTGTCATATGAATTTCTCACTTACTCATCTTCGCTAGCCAAGAATTACGATCCACTTCCCTCCTCTCCACCCTTGGCAGATTGAGATAGAATTTCGGAGACACAAGGTAATGATTTTCATTGGTTGCAGTCGAAACTCGCTGCATCCAATCAAAAAGCGCCTATAACATGATCACGTGTAAATGTAGAAAGTGTATGTAAACAATTGCCATGCACCTGCTTATTGTGCAACAAGTCTTTACATCCCTAAACATACGACTATATTTAGTGACAATTTGAATGTTTTTAATCAACTTATAGAAGTTCCTGTGTATGTTTCTTGCACAAATGCATGAATGTCAACGTATATTTTCGTTTCCTGCTTTATCAAGTGCTACCATTGGTCAAGAATAATATATTCAGTGACTTTAATCTACCGATAGATGGCGCAACATTGTTATCACAAATGTTGGCTTAATCTGCCAAGGGTGGAGAGGAGGGAAGTGGATCGTAACCCTTGGCTAGCGAAGATGTCACTTACTATGAGTAATAGCATAACTATATTTGGTATATGGGTTCCTTGCAACGTCTACATGTCCGTCAGACAGAGTTCACCTGACCTCGACCTCATTTAATGGATGAGTGATCAAGGTTAAAGTTACGTGATGAGGTCCGTTTCTCAATATAAGCTGTAGATCAACTATATTTGGTGTATGAAATTATTGTAATGGGTACATGTCAGACTGGCAGGTTTCATCCGACCTTGACCTCATTTTCATGGTTCATTGGTCAATGTTAAGTTTTGGTGTTTTGGTCTGTTTTTCAAGTACTATAAGCAATAGGTCAACTATATTTGGTGTATGGCATGATTATAAGGTGTACAAGTCTGTCTTGCAGGTATCATCTGACCTTGACCTAATTTCAATGGTTCATTGGTCAATGTTAAGTTTTTTGTGTTTTGGTCTGTTTTTCAAGTACTATAAGCAATAGGTCTACTATATTTGGTGAATGAAAAGATTGTTAGGTGTACATGTTTGTCTGGCAAGTATCATCTGGCCTTGACCTAATTTTCATGGTTTATTGGTTAATGTTAAGTTTTTGTGTTTTTGTCTGTTTTTCAAGTACTTAAAGCAATAGGTCAACTATATTTGGTGTGTGGAATGATTGTAAGGTGTACATGTCTGTCTTGAAGGTATCATCTGACCTTTACCTCAATTTTATGATTCAATGGTCATTGTTAAGTTTTTGTGTTTTGGTCTGTTTTATAAATACTAAAAGCAATATGTCAGCTATATTTGGTGTTTGGAATAATTTTAAGGTGCACATGTCTGTCTGGCAGGTATCATCTGACCTTGACCTCATATTTATGGTTCATTTCAATGTTAAGTTTTTGTGTTTTGGTCTGTTTTTCAATTAGCATACGCAATAGGTCAACTAGATTTGGTGTATACAAAAATTTTAAGGTGTATGTCTGTCTGACACAATTTATCTGACCTTGACCTCAATGTCATAGATTTTTGAAAATGTTAAGTTTCTGTAATCCTTTTAGTAAAACCTATACCTTTAAGACTTTCAACATAAAATCAATGGTCAGTAAAACAAGCGAGACATTTCAGCGTGTGCACTCTTGTTTTATATAAATATATGATATGACATTGCGGAGTTATGGAACTTTATTCATTGAAAAATCGTTGAAAACTGTCCCTTTTTCACACTTTGGAGGTTATAGAATTTTATTCGTTCAAAAATCGTGTTGTGAACAAGATAGAAATGTATAGGTGAAAAATCAAACCACAAACTTAGTTAAACTTGAGGCAGCCTTAATAGTGCCAAATTATTCATGTTTTGTGCTAATGTGCACCACTGTGTGTGCATGTCTTTTTTCTTCTTTTTTTGGGACGGGGGGGGGGGGGGGGGGGGGATTTATTTGAGCAGTGCTCACAGTATTTTTAGTTGATCATTTAAATTCATTCAAAGCATAAAGACGCGCTAAAAGGGCGACGGGCGTATAATGCGCTCATGGCGCAGCTCTTTATTATTATTGGACGGAGTCGGAGGATTCGGTGAGAGAGGACGACTGACCTTTGGCAGGTAATGGCAATCATTTAGAGATCTGCTTCGAAAACGCATCGTCACGAGCGGTGTTTGAATTCACAACCTAAATATTGACAGGATAGTGATGAGTGTATATGAATAACGTAGACCATTTGGACACCGAGGCCCTTCGATATCTTTAGCTTTCAGAAATGCAAGAATTCCCTTGAAAAGAAATAAAATCATAATTTGCCGGGGTAAATATAGAGATTTCACTACTTTCAGGGTGACAGCGGCGGACCACTAGTATGCAAAGACAGTGACGGTAAATGGGAACTTTCTGGTATAACATCTTTTGGTATTGGGTGTGGAGGTTAGTATTTATTATTACAGGCACATTAAATTAAAAGCCATGTAATTATTCCGTTTCTGTAAATGCTTTCGCAACAATTCATTTGCATTCAAAGACATTTGAAGTTAACATCAAAAACCAAAAACGCAGGATGCATAAATACCGAGTCGCGTCAAAAGTCATATGATTAAAAGAAACATAATAGCACGACGAAGACAAAGAAAGGGAAAACTGTACAGTAAGTTAAAAGAATATCAGCACCAAAAATCTTACTCTCAAGACCATCTTGTATTATTTGTGACACTGAATATTTATCTTTAAGGTATTGTTACTTTCTGATGAACTTTTTGAGAATTACAAATATTGAGAATGTTTTTGAAAGAGATAAAAACCGACTTCTGCGAAAATGGTTCCACCAGCGTTATAAGAGACGATGGTTGTTTGACTTTTGAAGTACTAATCATGCATCAAGCGACTTGAAGTATACACAGAAGATTCTATTCGAAAAATTATTTATTTTGACGGCTAGTATATCTTCATATTATGGTTTTCCTTATGAAATTTAATACTGTTTTGTTTCGTGTAATCTATCAAGTTCAAAGTTGTTATCTTGTATCTTTCTTGTAAGACATTTCTCTATCAATTTCAGATCCGAATTCTCCAGGAGTGTATACAAAAGTTAGTAACTACATCTCGTGGATACATCAGACAATTGCAGAATATTCATGAAAAAATACTTCTACCTGTCTTTCAGTTTTGCAATCTTTTGTTGTTATTGAATAAAATATTTTCCGTTATACCTGACTCTTTGCCGTCAAAAACGAAATCACGATCAATATATTTTGTATATGTTCAAAAATTTTAAATCTTATTTTCTAATTAAAGTTTGAATAGCTTACCACATTTACAACAGATGCAAATTTATTATTCACAAATGTAAAAAAAAAACAACCAGGAAACGGTAATGTCACAAGCGTATTTTCAAAATTTGGCAATATAACCTACAATGTTTTTTTACCCGGAGTGAAAATAAGATGAGCGTAATTCGGATCAACAGAAGCCAATGAAATGGTACTTCTTCTGATTTGAGATTATTAAATGTATAAAGACAAATAAAAGAGATACCAATTTGATCAATTCAACTTTTACCATCTTGTTCAACGAAAAGGTGCGATTTCAAAATGCAAATATTACTACGTCAGCTGTAACTTATCACTTTATGAGAGCATTGGTATACTGGTTTATGATATCATGGTCACTGGATTATTCGCTATTCAAAAGTCAATTACAGAAAATTGAAATTCTAGTTTTGAATTCAAATCTTAAAATGTAATTTTTGATATTCAAGATTTCGAATTCGCGCAGTATAAAAATCGAGATTAGAAATTCAGAAAACGAAGTAGTCAATTAGAAGACAACTTTTAAGTGTACGCTATTGCAGGAATTCAAATACTATATCAGTTTTAATTTTATCAGTTAATAAATGTCCTACACACTGAAGTGTCTCTAAATACCAAGTCTGTTAGTAATTATAGGCAACCTTATACTTATACTTGTACTGCATACTTTAGTTGAAACTTTTCAGTTAATGAATAATGTTAATTTTCTAAAAGCTTGCAGCTCCCTTACTGTTCACTTGCTTGTCTTTTGTTTAGAGACTATAAAACGTTTTATAGTTTTGCTTCTAAAAATTTAGATTTGAGCATATCCGGTGAATGTTGTTAAAAATAACCTCGTATAATAGGCACTAAAATCAGCATCCCGCAACATATTTTATGTGTCTTTCCCAAGTTATGAGTATATAGATAATCGGCTGTCGTTGGTTGCTGTCTGTCATAAATGTTCTCCTTTTATTGTTTTTTTTTCCTCATAAATCAGGCTGTTGATTTTTTCGTTTGCATTGTTTCACACTTCGTCATATCGTCTTTTAGCTGACTATACGGTATGGGTTTTGCTCATTATTGAAGGCCGAAGAGAGGCCTACAGTTGCTTAAATCTAGGTCTATCGGACTACGATGGATAGTTATCTTATGTGAAATCATACCACGTCTCCTTGTTTTAGATACGGGATTGCTAATTGACTGTGACTGTGAGATGAAAAACAGCAATAAAAGCGCTGTTCCTTTGCTTTTATGTGTTTTTGCTGTGTATGTACTGATTTTGTGTCATGGATCGATACCCCATATCCTTTGTTTTTCAATTATGTCAACAGAAAGGTTCCCATCGAAACGGGCAGGATTTGAATGATAAACTGGTTGTAAAGGTATAAATCATTGAAAGATACGCGATAGTTTCGTCTGTTCTTTTTAAGGGTCTTGCTTTTGATGATTTGAAAAACTTTCTGTTTTTGCTGCCAAACTTTTAAATAGATTCCTATTGCTCATGATCAGTTTTAAGTTTTCTATGTAGTGTTTTTGGACTTCGTCTTTTCGTCGTATTTCATTTTTTGCCATGGCGTTGTCAGTTTTTCATCGACTTATTTCTTTTGAATGTCCCCTTGGTACTTTCTGCCTCTTTCCTTTACCACTATATTTAAAGATACAATCAGGAATATGTGATTAAAACAGACCATTTATGAAAATTACTTTTTGTAAATAATTGTACCTCAACTCTAGGAGTTAGGACCATTTAAATTCACTTTGTCCGTCCTTCTCGTCCGTTTGTCATCTTTTTCGTCAAACTATTATCCGGCAGAAATTACCGAACCAAGCAGAGGTTAGTTGAAATGTGTGAGCAATTTTTCAATAACATTAACGGTACCAATGTTTCTGCACTAGATGCGCATTTTTCAATATGTTTTTCAATATTTTCGTAACACGTTTCTCAGGTACTACTAAAAAGATTGATGCCATGTTTGGTCAGCAGTTTGATTGTGAAAAGGTGTAATGTGTGAATACTTTTCGGAACTTTCAGACACAATAGTTTTTATTTTTTTCAATATGTTGAATGATATTAATATTTCGTCACATATTTCTTCAATACTACTAAACTGAATGACTCCATTTCTGGTCAGGAGCTTGACAATCATAAGTTGTAAAACCTTTCGGAATTTTGGGTCCTAAATGCTCTTCAACTTCGTACATTATTTGGCCTGTTTTGTACTTTTTTAATTCGAGCGCCACTGCTGAGTCTTTAATAGACGAAACGCGCATCTGGTGTACAAATTATTTAACCCTGGTATTTATGATGAGTTTACTGTACCGTGGTCGCGCTTTTCGGATCTGTTAGACAGCTACTTCCTGTTTCCGATACTCTGAAGGAAGAGTGATGTTTTGCTTGGCAAGACAACGCGTGTCATTTCTTGATCAAGCTACACAAGAAACATCCCTTTCAATATACGACATTTAAGGTTAATTAAAAAGAAATGACCAAGGGACATTGTTTTTCTTTTTCTTTTACGGTTTTCAAATGTTATAAGGTGGATTACGCCAAACGGGAAATATACATATATTAACTACATAGTCCGTACACACTTGTCACAGATGTGCATCAAGTAAAATTGAGGTAATACTATCTAATGGCGAGATAATAAAAACAATGTGCAAAATGACGCAAATGCAATACGTCCAAATGAATCAGCCTTAACATTTTTAAGGTTATTTAATATGACTCCGCCTAAAGCTGAAACAAGCGATTTCATCAAACAGGTGAACTCCATTAACTCTAACAATAATGAATTCAAATGAAAGATAAAAATGCAAATGTCTCGACCCCTAACTATATTTAAAAATCAGTTTTATATTCAAATAAAGGAAATTAGTTTTGGGCATTGCTTTATTGTTTTATCGGAAGTTATCAAGTATTTCTTGCAAATACGAACATTTTAAAGAACTTTGAATTCACAACAAATATATAAAAAACAACATATACTCCTACACCAACCATGGAAGAGGAGATTTTAGAAATCACAAATCCGATCTTCGATCTGTCCTTTTGGTATTAACATAAAAAAGGATAATGAAAATCTACTGGATACCTAACTTTAACAAATATCCTGATGAAAAACGATATATATCCGGGTCTTCTAGATCGACTAAACAATTTTTTGATTCTTACTTCAGTAAGAGATGGCCTTCCGAAATATAGTTAGATATGGACAAAAAGAAATTCTAAAGATTTACTTCAAAATCTTCAATTACAACCTGGGGCCTCGGTGGCCGAGTGGTCTAAGTAGTTACTACTGTAATCACAAGCCAGTCAACACTGCGGGTGCACTCGACTCCAATCTTAATTGACTAGGATTGTCAGTTTTCCTATCGAAGGTCGGTGGTTTTCTCCGGGCACTCCGGCTTCCTCCACCAATAAAAACTGGCCGCCACGAAATAGCCCAAAAGCGGTGCTTAAAAGTGGCGTTAAAACACAAAAAATCAAATCAATCACAACCTTTACAATTTTTCAATTATATAAAAACTTTTGATTTTTTTTAATCTTCACGGCTATTCCCATGCACAATATAAAAAGATCGACTACGTCGTGTCATTTAACGGCCGTATCATGCGCTAATGGTACAGCTGTTTGTTTATATATATAGTTGTACACAATTGGCTTTCAATTTTTTGGGTTATAAGCGTTCCTGATGAAGGCAAATGCAGAAAGTATTAATTTCAATTCTTATGGATTTATGAGATTTGAACATCGTTGAACTACTGTTACATCTTAATTCTGAAACTGTAAATTGTATCCTTATGTAGACGAATAGCGCGTCTGATGTACTTAATTCTGAAACTGTTAATTGACCCTTATGTAGATAAAAAGCGCGTCTGACGTACTTAATTCTGAAACTGTTAAATGTATCCTTATATAAACGAATAGCGCGTCTGACGTACTTAATTAAAAATTGTTAATTGTACCCTAATGTAGACGAATAGCGCGTCTGACGTACTTAATTAAAAACTGTTAATTGTGACCTTATGTGGAAGAATAGCGCGTCTGACGTACTAAATTCTGAAACTGTTAAATTGTATCCTTATGTAGAAGAATAGCGCGTCTGACGTACTTTTAAATTCTGAAACTGTTAATTGTACCCTTATGTAGACGAATAGCGCGTCTGACGTACTTAGTTATAAGCCTGATATCTTTGATGAGTTTTTACATCCACTGGGTCAATGCCACTGATAGGGTAATTTTCGGTACCAGTTTTTACATCCACGGGGTCGATGCCACAGCTAGGGTAGTTTTCGGTACCAGTTATTACATCCACTGGGTTGATGCTGATAGGGTAGTTTTCGGTACCAGTGTTTACATCCACTTGGTCGATGCCGCTGCTAGGGTAGTTTTCGGTACCAGTTTTTACATCCACTGTGTCGATGCAACTGCTCGGGTAGTTTTCGGTACCGAGGTAATCACCAGCCAAATAGGCATGAAATATGAGAGTGTGGATGGGATATACAGAATAGAAAATAATGGGTAAAAAAAATAAAGAATAGAGAAAAATGGGGTGCTGAAATATAAAGAATAACTGCAAAAATTAAAGAATTAGGTAAAAATATACTGATTACAGAAAAGAAAAATGTCCAGAATACAGTCATCAAGTAATTACAGAATAACCTTTATTTTTAAAGATAAAGCATAATGAGCGAAAAAAATAAAAGAATACAGAAATGAAGGACCCCTCATCCATACCCTCAAATATGATTGATGCTGTCATTTCCTATACAGACTGTTACTAAAACATTCAAATCATTCGAAACGCTTAAAGTTTTTCTATCCCATGGCATAGATGACCCTAAATAGATTTGGCGGCGCAATTCATTTATTAGAATTTTTTTTATAAGTCTTAATATCTTTGAGGAGTTTTTACTATTACATTTCTTTCTGACAAAAATCAAATAGCAAAATGTCCCCTAAATGTGTTATACTTTGTATAAAAGATACTAAGTAAGATAATTATACCACATTTACAAGATGATATGAAATACATTATTTTCAAAGATTTATATAACAGTCTATTTATAAAGCAAACTTTATTAAGAACATGTGTATTCCAAATCATGCAATCGAAACGCTCTGGTGCAATGTTCTGCATATAGATTGATTTACGTAGTTGGTGTTTTCTCGTTTTACCATATAAATTAATTTTGATATTGTTTTTTTGATTACAGATTCACCATCGGAGGGCTATTACAAATCTTTTACATATATGAACAACAGGTGGAATATATGTACATTATATATGATGCCCGTGGAACCTTATGCATATGTTGTATAGGTCATTTTCATTGACATTGTCCTGGTTTTGGTGACATACTTATTTTATTAGCAGCAATGAACAACACCACTGCAAATGAGGATTTCTCTGACAGTAATTACAAACATGCTGTATTCATACTTGACGCACTTCTAATGCTTCCGACCATATTTGGAAATAGTTTAATTCTTTACTGTGTTTTGACATATCCTAATCTAAAAAGAAAGATTTATGGCTTAATAGCAAATTTGGCTTTAGCGGATTTAATGATCGGATCAATTTTGTTTCCATATGAAATGACAGTCATCTTAATTCCAAGTTTAGATCGTCAAAAGTATTTGTGCATTTTTAAGCATTCGCTTTATACAACCTTAATCGGTGCGTCCGTTATGAATCTCTTTCTGATATCAATGGATAGATATATTTCAGTTTTACACCCTCTGAAATACCATACTTCGTTTACAACCGGAAGACTTAAGCGATACTGTGCCATTGGTTGGACGATATCAATTATTTTAGGAATTTTGCCGTTTTTCGGTTGGAACACATGGTCATTGGACAAACCTTGCATTTCAAAGTTTGTTTCACCTGAAGGTTATACAACCTTGATTCTTACTTTTTACGTACTCCTAATAATAATTGCGATTGCATTGTATATACTAGTTGCAAAAAAGGTGTTCAAGCTGTTACATTCAAAGGATTGTATCAAATCTAATGATGTTAATTATTTGAGGTCAACATCTAAGTTTACCAAAAATATTGTGAAGACCAAGATTATGATCGTGGTTCTTGGAGTGTTTGCATTATGTTGGAGCCCGTATTGTTTCTTGGTGATTTTACAAACGTATTTCATAACTCCTAATGATTACTTAGAAAGAGTTGAAAAATATTTATTACTTCTCGGCCAATCGAACTGTGGTCTTAATTGGATTATTTACGGAATAAAGAATAAAACAATGAGAAATGCGTTCAGACGAACGTTTTTCCATCGTCGTCCTGGAACATTGTCTGCGAACAGAAGTTGTGAATCTAGTACGTCCACCAATGCATTTTCAATTCAAGAATCTTCTAACATATAAGCTTTCAAACAAACAGCAAAATCAAAGTTAGTTTTTTTGCTGCCACATTAGATCCAGGTTGTGTGTTAATTTACGTTTTTTGATTGAGTTAAGCCTTCCAATTGATATTTTATAGTGTGTCTTTCTATGTTGTGATGTTATACTATTGTTTCAGAAAAAGGAGAAGGTTTGGTACCATTAAAACGTTTAATCCCGCTGCAAATGTTTGCTCCTGTCCTTAGTCAGGAATCTGATGTACAGTAGTTCATACGTGTTTCTCGTTTCTCGTTTTTATATAAATTAGACCGTTGGTTTTCTCGTTTGAATGGTTTTACACTAGTAATTTTGGGGCCCTTTATAACTTGCTGTTCGGTGTGAGCAAATGCTCGGTGTTGAAGGCCGTACCTTGACCTATAATGGTTTACTTTTATAAATTGTTACTTGGATGGAGAGTTGTCTCATTGGCATTCATACCACATCTTCCTATATCTATGTAAGACAATGTTAAACTGAATAACTGACATAGCATTTATATATATGCTAGTTTACTAGTCGGTAAATCTAAATATTTATTGTTTTTTTTTCTGTAGTATACATGCTTCAAGCATCTTATTCTGAAGCATACAACGATTATTGGCTGATTGATCGGAATATTGCCTTCCAAACAGTTACACATTTCTGTACATAATAGTTGGCTGTATATTATTAGTTACACAGTGTGCTAGTGACCTAATACGATATATATGGGGTCAGTAAATTCCATATGGGGTGAGAGCTAGCTAAGGTATTTACTGACCTCATATATATCGTATTAGGTCACTAGCACACTGTGTAATGAATTTATCTTACCAACTATCTTAACATGTGGCATTTAGACTAGTGGCCTATCAAAGTGATCAAGTCTTCAATATTAAGAACCTACTTCCATTGGTCTATACAAAAACAAATGCCAACAATAACAACTTGTTAGCGTTAAATGTGTTTTTTCTGCATTTTTTTTTCAATCGTTCATCATCAATTTCTTCGTCTGTTGAAACCTTTCAGATTTTTCCTCAACACCGTGTTGTTTTTACAAAGGGACGTAACACCACTACTAACTCCATATGAAATATACACGGTCTCCACGATGTTTCTTTTAACCAATCATATTCCTAGAAAAGTATAGGAGGTAAGATAGACATTATTACAAAGTAAATAGATATAAGATGCGGTATGAGTGCCAATGAGACAACTCTCCATCCAAGTCACTATTTGAAAAAGTAAACCATTATAGGTCAAAGTACGGCCTTCAACACGGAGCCTTGGCTCACACCGAACAGCAAGCTATAAATGGCCCCCAAAATGACTAGTGTAAAGCCATTCAAACAGGAAAACCAACGGTCTAATCTATATAAAAAACGAGAATCGAGAAACACTTATGAACCACATCAACAAGCGACAACCACTAAACAACAAGTTCCTACAGACCATTTTTTTTCGAAAATAAATTCGGCAATCTCTATTTTTCAAACTTAATGTACAATTATGTTAACTTCACTCAGGTTCAAGAATACAATTCAGAGAAATCATTAGCACATTAGTATCAGTATCTATCCTCCTTAGCTATCTAAAATAAAAGCATTTGTTGGGTCGGAAATCACATGTGTGTGTGTAAGTTTTTATGCTTTTTTTAAATTGTAAACATAAAATACCGAGAAATATTTAAGTAGCATTGTATGAATTTTTTCAACCATGATGTGAAGAAATAATTACTACCATTATTGTTATTCGTCGTTTCCTATTTTATGTATTAATGCGTACACCTATGCAAAAACATAATAATGAGCACGAGAAGCAGGCACCGCCCTAGCTTGTCGCTTTAACTGGCTGATTATATAATTTCACCATATAAGTTATAATTTGTAGAAAGAGTTTTTATATTTATTTTGTTGAAAAATTCATATTAAAGAAGGAAAAACAGCGTACCATTCTTACGTTTTTAAATATTGAATCCAATGAAAATTGTACATTTAAAATATGTCATTTATAGTTGTTGATTGCGAGAATTTATACATTTTACTTTCTTGTGTCATTAAACCAAAAACCACACTTCAATATATCATTTTAGAATCTGAGGTGAGAGCTTGATATATTGTGTATAGACACATGTCTATTGTTGAAGTCCTCATATTGATCTCTATATATCTTTGGTTGTTTGTGTCGTTGGATTGCTCTCTCATAATACTATGCATCTCAGATTACTTAGTATTCAGATATATGAATAAACAAGAAGTGCATGAACTTAGTTCAGTAAGTTCGAGATAAGAGTTGCCGAACAACAACCATAGAAATTAATTTTATAGTTATAAAAATGAAATTGAAAAAGTTGATGATGATGGATTTTTAACGTCCAGTGGCAAATTAAATACATATTCAGGACTATAACGTGGTAATGCTATAGGAATATGAACCATACTTTGTATAGATCGGTTTATTACTTCAATGCCTTCATCCTTTGATTTAACTAAGGTTTGAACTCCCTCAGGCAAAGTTGACCTTATATGGATTGGCTATTATTTGTATGTCCTTTTTGGTCATATAGCTCTTCAACAGTTTCGGTCCTCATAATCCTTGAATTTCAAATTATCAGCTTTGTGCGTTCCTAATGAAGGTAAATCATTAAAGGCGCTAGGACGCATGTAATTTATAACGTGTTGTTTTCACTTTTTACAACCGCTGCTAGTGGACTATTAGTCCTCGAGGGTATCATCAGTTTTGTGTAGTCAGCACATCGGTACTGACATGATTAACAATGTATAAAAAACATTTGTTTAATTGTCCGTTTATAAATTTATAAATTATATAAAGAAACTAATATTTCAACATCTTTTGTCTTTGAGCGTTCCTGATGAATGTAAACCCAGAAAAGCTCGTCGGACGCATGGATTTATTAAGTGTTGCTTTCATTATTTTTTATCTGCCGACAAAATACAGGCAAGTAATTGTGTCCAATTTAAATTACCCGTAGCCAAAACAAAGAGTATTATAACTTATGCATGTACGCTTAGTTCGGTGGAGGACATTTTAGCGCATTAATAGGACATTTTAGAGAAAAAAATCGCGCATTTTAGCGTCAAAGTATAACCCGTTTTAGTGCAATATTTTAAACTCATTTTAGCGAAAAGTGAAATTATCAATGCCCGTTTTAGCGACAGAAATTTATTCACAACAGAATAATAAATTTTAATAGTATGAAGACAGCACAATGTAAAGATATAGCTTGGTGACAACTATAAAATTTCTCATTACAATACCGGTAATTATAATAAAATTGAGAATGGAAATGGGGAATATGTCAAAGAGACAACAACCCGACCAAAGTGCAGAACATAGCCAAAGGCCACAATGGGTCTTCAACGCAGCGAGAAAATCCCGCACCCGGAGGCGAGCCTCAGCTGGCCCCTAATAATGTATGGAACGACTTTGCACCATCATTTGTTCGCTTTGAATTACATGCAACTTCTCCCCAAAGCGTAAGTGGAAACATAGACTCGTAATTCATATAGCATGAATTACAGTCCATTGTTATATTTTGATGCGTATTATACAACCAGTTTAGTTTTCGCTAAAATGGGCTATCGAAATTAAAGGTGAACGGATTAATCCGGCTCTAAAATGGGCTATAATGTCTGCGCTGAAATGTCCCCTAGTAGTTCAAAATTTTTCGCTAAATAAAATGTCATGAGCCCGCCTAGTCTTCTAATTAAAATTCAAGATAATATGGAGGGATAAATCGTACTTTGTAAAAAGTCACTCTGATTCAAACAAAAAATTCTCTGAAACTGACATTACCAAGATGCTTGATTTCTTGATTGACAACATATTTGTTACGTTTGGAGGACGTGTTTTTCAACAAACAATCGGCATTCCCATGGCAACTAGCTGTGCCCTCTTCTTGCCGACTTTTTCCTTAATCACATGAGGCTGACTTCATACAGGAACTTCTTAGGAAGAAAGAAAAGAAGTTAACAGTATCCTTTAATTTCATATTTCGCTATATAGATGGTGATCTCTCACAAAATAATTCACAATCTGGTGATTACGTTGAATGCATCTATCCCATCGAACTTGAGTTAAAGGATACAACAGATACAGTTCAGTCTGTATCATATATTGACTTCCATCTAAAAGTTGACAATGAGGGTCGGTTGAAAACAAAACTTTACGACAAACGAGATGATTTCAGATTCCCAATTGTGAACTTTCCATTTCTATGTAGCAACATTCCAGCAGTGCCTACATACGGAGTATAGATCTCCCACTTGATACGATATTCCAGAACTTGTGTTTCCTATCATTATTTCCTTGATAGAGGGTTGCTGCTCACAAGGAAGCTATTAAACCAAGAGTTCCAATTGGATAAGGTGGAATCATCCTTTCGTAAATTTTACGGACGCCATCACGAGTTGGTTGACCGTTATGAAATATCTGTTTCACAGATGACGACGGATATATTTCAATTGCCGTAACTACAATCAATCTCGTCCCCTTCCCCCGAATGTGACCTACCGAGTTAGACATATCACCGGGTTTGTACATACATGAGCATTCTTTTAATTTTATCTTTTTAAATTCTAAGTTTTAATAACATTTCCCTTATTATTCCATTCATTGCAATATATTTTTTTTTTTGAAAAGGGACATGTTTTAGGTGACAATAATTTTTACCTGTTAATTACCATTGTCCTATTAATGTTTTTTTCTCTAAAAAAAACACCCTTTCACTAAAACCACATATATTCAATTTACTTTTTATTCATGCAAGGAAAAGATATTCTGTAAAATGTTAGCTTTCGAGGAAGACACCGTCTAGATCGACCTGGATATGCATAGACTATTTTCCACTTGACGTTAGGCAAGCAACAACCGGCAATCAATCAATCAATCAATCAATCAATCAATCAATCACCAATCAAACGAGTGAGTAAGTGTATACGTCAGTGTTTAAAGTTAAATATAATACAATTAACATTGTCCAATAAAACTCGAAAATAAAACGTACATATACATGTGCATTTCATACAAAATTAAAGACAAATACTGATAAATCAAACAATTTTTGTTTTACTAAAGCGAGTTAGACCTTGACATATTGTATAGTACCCAACTGTTTATTGTTGAAGACTATATATTCGTCTCCAGATGTCTATTGGTTATTTTTATTGTTGAGTTGCTGTCTCATTGTCGTAGAGACCACATCTTCTTTTATTTATATTCATGTTTGACATGTTGACAACATTTACTTAGGAAATCTTTGTCCTAAATATAATATTGTCATCGATTACGTATCTCTGTGGTTTTAAATCTAGAACCATGACGACATAATATCAGTTTGAATGCTCCTCGTATATTTCTATTTTTTAGTCCATAAATAATCCAGTTAAATGCAGAACTAAGAAGAGCCAGTAGTCCACAATACATTTTTGCCTCTATTAGATCGTAGTTTATATTGGGAATGAGATCCTCTAAAATGATAATTATTCCATATGGAGTCCAACACAGTACAAAAAGACCTAAGATCAAGATTAGGATTTTAGTCTTTTCAGCTGATCTCGTAAGTCTCTTTGTGGAGAAATGTAGGATATCTTTATTATTTTCGCCTCGTTTTCTTTCATCTAGAATTCTAAAAGTCGTGATAACTACTTTTATAAATAAAATAGCTGACATAGTAACGGATACCAAGTAAATAATGATGCATATTTTGTTAAGTATAGTTGGTAAAATATCTGCCCGTCTCAGGGAACACTGTGTAGAAGTATTCCACCAAACTATAGGTAATGATGCCAAAACTGTAGATAAACACCATGAAGCAGTTATAGATCCTATCAGCCATTTGTTGGATAGCTGCATGTGCCATAAGGGATATACAATAGCTGCATATCGTTCTAACGAGAGAATAAATAAGTTGAAGATTGACGCTCCAACAAATTCCTGCATCAACAAAGCTCTAAATAAGCATGTTAATTTGTTGGTGTGCATTGGTTTATAGTTCCAAAATGTTATATCATATGGTATGAATATGAATCCAAGTAATAGATCAGATACGGCTAAATTGGCAATTAAAATATAACTTCTTGTATGAAAAATTTTGTATTTCAGAATACTATAAATAAGGACACAATTACCAAGAACTGTTGGCAAAATTATAATCCCTTCTGTAATGCACACCAAGTACACAAAACGCTCAATGACACTTACAATCTCGGCCATTACTGGTCCTTAATACAACAAATATCTGACAAGCTCTTTTGAGAGAAAAAAATCCTCCACAATCAAAGCGACCAATTATTTGATTTTCTCTTTTATGTTGTATATCTTCTTTATAATTCAGCACTCCATCAACATACTGATGATAACGTGCCGGAATAATTATAATTATTTAATATTGACCATATTTATTGTCACGGGCAAGTGAAGTCCATTAATTCTATTAAAAGCCTAACGGCAAATAATTGGTGATAAATCAAATGACAATATTTCACAGCTTACGCACCATGACAATTTTTGTGTTAATATATAGCATTTGAATATAC